GGTCTGACTTTTAAAGTACCAGTATAATGAAAAGCCCAATACATTACGACACATAAAAGTATAACATTGTTCGAAAACTTAAATTTAGGGGTGTCAGGAATCATTTTCCCATCTCCAATGGCTTAAAAGGATTAATTAATCCTTTAAAAAAATTCCAGCTACTGAGGATTTCTCCCTGTCTTCCAAGTAAAACAATTGGATTTTGGCATCATATAGCTTTAGAGCCACCTCAGCCTATATTTTAACACTTTTTCCGGAAAATAATTCAGACTCTCTTACAGAAGAAATATTTTTCCACTTTTCGCCGGATTTTCACGCCAGCTAATAGTTATTTGAAAGAGGGACGCACCATTTACATGTGCGGACATCACATCTCTCTAACTGAATTCGCGATAGTTTTAAGAAAAAAATCATAATTATAACTAAGCAATGAAGCATCTAAACGATAATTTTCACTTGCTTGTAAACCAGCTATAAAACAATAAATAGGAGAATTCCTCATTCGTGTTTATGAAAACGTAATTTATTTGTCTCTTGATGAATAGATGCATTTAATATGAACATTAACGGCTTGCCGTTTTGTTCCAATAAATAGACTGACGTTACACATACGTTAAATACATTCACTTTAAATATAATTATATCCTCCTTCCATTCTTCAGTAAATGAATTTAAGCGGCACATTGGCAGTCTATAGGCAATGCAGCGCATTTAGAAATGTATTTGGCTTGTGGATAGCCAATCACTACTTTACAGGCGGGGTAACTATAACCTTTAGCCAGCGCTCCATAACAGGCAGCGTGTGTACTATGACAATGAACCTCGTAGACATACTTTTGCCTGCATGAATCCCACTTTCTCACTTCTTTGTCAAAGCACGGGTTATTAACGTCCCTGGCTGTTCTATTGCTCACAACGTGTTTGTTTAAAAACTGTTCTAAACTACTTGTAACTTCACTCTCGGCATTTTCAATGTACTTTAGCTCTGGCTGAACGATAGCATCTTTTAAATGGTAATCTTGATCACGTGATTGATGGGTGGCGGTGTGATTGTAAAGGAATGGCATCTCAGGAAAAAGATGTTTGGTTAAACACAAAGTGGAGCAGCTTAAGACGACGATTATTGAAAAAATCATCTGCTGAAAAATAGATAAGGTGTCGGTATGAATACTTTTAAGTAACAAAATAATATCTGATTTTCGTTTTGATACAACAAAACACCCCGATAAAATTTATATTGCCATAAAGAAGGCTTACAAAAATCTTACAAAAATAAACGAAGGGGAAAAATGCCGTTCATTTGAGTGCCAATGTATTTAGCAAGAAAGTACTAACTGGGGACACTATTTTTACGTCTCTTGCTGGAGACGGGACCGCCGGTTAACGTGGTCATTCGAGCCACGTGAAGGTCTAGCCATTTGCAGGGCAAAGGGAGTGCCTTCATTTCTCAGTTATTGTAGACCAGGAGTATTGGTCCGGTCCCGGGAATCAAACCCGCGACCTCCTGCTCTCCAGTCAAGCGCTCTACCGACTGAGCTATTGCTGCCGCGGGTTGAAAAAAAAAGACAAGAAAAGAAAATAGGAGGGAAAAAAAAGAGCAAAAGTAAACAGGGGGAGGTACAAAAAATGTTGCATGCTTGACTCATGTGGTAAATCAGTGAGTTACAAACCGTCGTTTAAATAAATAGTTTAAGTGAAAAGAAGAATCATTCAACTCCAATCATCAAAATAATTTCCATACACAATTCAAGACGCCAGTTCATGCAATTTTGACTTAAATGCTGTTAGTTTACGAAATTGCTAAAGGTGTACAAAATTTGTTTTCGGTTTTCATTTTTAAAGCAGATTATCTATTGAATAAAAGCTATTTGAGTACTTCCTGAAAACTCAAAATTGTCTGTTGAAGGTGACGATATGCTAAGTCATGAAATTTAATATAAATTAACCAAAGAACATGTTTTCTTACCTTATAATCAATTACGAGAACCATTTTGGTTTGCTTTAGAGACACTCAACTTGGTAACTTGATGAGGCGAGTAAGTTATGTGTTTTTGAGTTCTTGGGCGTCTCAAAGTGAAGCGTTCGATATAGTCCACAGCTCAATTATGCGTGCTTTTATAAGAAAAATCTAACAGCCAAAATATGGGAAAATTTTCATTTGCTATGAAGAAATTATTTTAAAAAGTAATTCAGATCAATTCAATGCATCCTGTCGGTTTAACGCCGTTTCAGGCGTCGTCGGTTTTTATCTGATCTCTGGAACCTGATACAAACACTATTAGAAAGCTTAGAATTAAAATTATTGCTAACAGCCTGGGTGTTTTACAAACTTTTAAGGATAAACACAATAGGGCAATTGCACGATGACGTCATTTTACTACAACTACCAGAATCCTTCAGTTTGTTGTTTCTTGTGCAAATTGATAAGGCTATTGTTGGTTAATCCTCAAAGAGATTGACCAATTTGAATAAGAAAGCAAAAACGAAATGAATTCTGGTAGTTGTAGTCAAAACGTCGTCATCGTGAAAATGGCCCATTGCCTGAAATCTAGAAATTGGCGCAACTGGTGTTAAGTCGTTTTTATATGGCTAGTGGTAGTTCTGACTTAAATTTTGGACGGTAGAAGAGCTTTAATAAAGTCAACAATGTAATTTTTCGTTAGTTAGTTTAAGGGTTTCCAATATATGTTCTAATATAGAATGTCTTAACAGGTTTCCCCTTTACAACTGGCCAGGGTTGATCTAGGAGTTTTCCTTTTTTAATCAAAAAAATCGTTGAACAGCAGATGAATTTATGTGCCCATTCTTGTTAAAGTACAATTTTGTGTTTTGCAATGTCTGGGGAAATGGAGCTGAAATAAACACCCGTGTTTGGCAAGATTCTAGATAATCACTTGAAAAATAAAACTAATGAATTTGCATTTCCTTATGAATTGGTAATGAGTTTTTAACTTTATTGATATACATTCTAGATCCAAATGCCATGGATCATGTACAAGAATAAATGGAAGTAAAATCTTATCCTTTTTCTAGACTTAAGGCCATCATTTCTTTTTCTTTTCTTCATGAAGGATCAAAGAACGCGTTTTTTTTCCGCAGACACAATGCAGCTGTTCAGAAGACAAAGGTATCTTCTTAACTGCGTGTAGTTTCGAAAGGGCTTTGATGTTCTAGGGGAAATTTTCTCTTGTTCATTAGCTACTTGTTATGTCGTTTTTATCGTGTGATTACAGCAGGAAACGAATTTATGAATAGCAACTCGTTTAGATGAGTTACACAGCAAATTGCAGTGAAACAGTTTTAACGATCAGGTGTATTAAGCTTTGGTGAATTGACCGGGAGAGAGCTTGCATTTAAGAGTCTTAGACATCTATAATGTCAGTAGTTTTTCCCGTCTTCTTATCATCCAGGAAGTTAATGGCATTTATCAAAGGAATTGAAGGATCTGGCAGCTTCTTCACGAAGCGTTTTGACAGCAATTGGGATGCAGATAATTACAGCATCGTTTAGCGCTCTTAAAGCTTGCTCTTTTGTCTCGCTCTAACTTCCTTTGGTGGGTCAAATACAGCTATTTCGAGAAAGGTTGTCGGAAAAATTTGCACGGGACAATACCGAAAGGTAATATGGGATATGATCAATACACTGTTCCTGACACTGTAGCTGTCGAACCTTCTTTTGTTGTTTTCCTTTAGCACTCGCAAACATATTCCCATGGGCATTTCGTGCCATTCTTTCAAATTTCTTTGAAGAAGAGTGAACTCAAAACTACCCACAATACCTTTCGGGATTGTCGCGTGCACTTTTTCCGACAACCTTTCTCGGAATAGCTGTATGTTCAAAACCCAAAGCAGGCGAAATATAACAATTAGACCCGTTTTTCTCTTAGTTTCCACTTAACCATTTTCTTTTATCCGCTCGCTTATCTAAAGAGAATCGAATATCATGTGGCTCAAACGGGTTTCCTACTTTGAAAGATTAGATATTTGTGTTTTTTTTATTATTATTATTGATATAACTTTTATATTTATACAAAGCTATCATAATAATAGCTTAACGGTAAGAGAGATAGCGGAACGCAACGGTACAGCTTTCTGATAAGATCCTAGTTTTGTCCAAATATCTATTTCAAAAATTCCGGCACTAATTTCTATTAAGTACAGTCGAGCCTCCACTAACGGCTTCCTCTCTACAACGGCCATTTTTTTTTTTTGGCGGACAGTCCATACACTCACTCTTGTTTCAACCTCTCTACAACGGCTACCTCTCTACAATGGCCTTTTTCTTCTGTCCCCAAGGTGGCCGTTGTAGAGACGTTCAACTGCAAAAATGACACAATACAAAACGTATTTATGAAGGGGAATAATTTTCGATAGTTTTTCTGTAAAGCCAACAAGCTAGGACACAGTTTAATATTTAGTCAGTTGTTCCTTTCTTAAATGATTAAGTTATAGATTGACATGCCAATAGATACATAGGCAATTTAAAAAAGTTAGGCGTTGAACGAGGGTAAAGATGGGTTCTTTTGCATTCACAATGCTAAGAATTGTTGAACAACGTAACAACTGAGCTGCAACACTTGTTGATCGCTGAACTGTGTCATAAGCTCGATGCCGGTAGCAGTAAATCAAATCAACCACATCATATAGAAACTACAGAGTTCAGATTTTATTGTTTTTGCACTATTTACATATTGATTACATTGGAATTTTAAATGCTTTTATTTCTAATTCTCAGTTGTCTCATCAAAACAGACCTGCTGTTCACATATTTTTCCTCTATTAAGAACAATAGTCAAATATCTTATTCATCGATCACGGCAAATTTCAAGATCGGTAGAAAGATTAGTCTTAGGGCCTGTTTACATGGAGTGGGGGAACCCGGTCTAGTGGGGTTGGTTTCTTTTGTTTTCACGCTCTGGGGAACACAAAGCAAAAGAAACCTACCCCACCAAACCGGGGTCCCCCACTCCATATAACAAGGTCTTATTCTCACAAATAGACTCAGGCGGCACATTGGCAACCTATCGGTAATGCAGGACACCTTCCTATAAATTTAGCCTTCCAGTAACCGTAAACGGTATTACACTTGTCATACTGGTGGGTTAAAATTGCTTTATAACAGGAGACGTGGCTATCCAAGCAGTCTACATTGTAAACATAAGCCTTTCTACACGAATCGTAAACCCTCACGATTCGAGAAACGCATGGGTGACTAGCATCCCTTGTTGTGCGATTACGGGGTGTCGGCCTGTCAAGAAATTCGTTTACAACACTTGCGACATTACTCTCTTGGCTAATGCTCTCTTCAGGTTGAAAGGCATCTGTGTTTGGCTGGGTTTCTTGGTTACGTAGTTTTCGATTGAAGGTCAGGTTGCGAAGGAATGGTTTCTTTGGCGAAAGAGGTTTTGTAAGACATATTGTGCAAACACTCAGGATAACAGTTATAGAAAGAACCATCTGTTAAAAAAGGACAGGAATAGAGACATTAAACTGCTGAAAGATACCTCAAAGTGTCATTTTTTTTTTCTAGCATTGAACAGATGAGACGTTCACTGTAGCACCAAAAAAATGTCATTGACCGTCTTAGAAAAGTGAGAAATTCACAGATAGATCGGCAACAAAGTAACAACAACAACAATCTTCATTTGCAGGATCATACAAGTACACACGGTATTGCAAAAGCTATTTATAATTATGTTAGAACTAAATTTTAAAAGCAAATGACTGAAATGACTGTACTGTACTCTACGTCACTGTGGAAGTCATCATCTAGAACTGGCACCTTGATTGATGAAAAAGTTGGACTTAATCATACTTAATTATAATTATATTGCTTCTTCCGACTGACATACTGACGCACGATGATGAAAGTCGTTTGTAAAAATTTATTGATCTTACCTTTGCGGAGAGATTCATTTTTATTCACGGTTTTTGAAAGATAAATTCTTTGAAGGATTCAATTCAGGTTGATAGTTTCTAGACCTGCAATATTGTTGGAAAAATAACAAGAAAACAAAACCAGTTTATTCTCCTGCAGTTCACACTTTTTTTCATAAGGATTGAACGTGCGGTAGAACGCCAAAGTTAGTGCAGAAAGAAGGGTAACCAGAGATTGGGAAACTTGACCATGGAAAACACAAGAACTTATTTCGTTAAACATTGAGGGGAGAAAGGGGGGTTTGTAAAAGTGCTGCTTTAGCGTTTTACATACTGGGCGCATCTTGATACCATTTTGTCCATAGACTCAAAAGTTAAAAATACGTTCATTAACCGTGTCCATAAACTTACTTTGAGATTCAGAGGTGATTAGGAAAGATTGTGAAACCTAAAGTGTAGTTATTTTCAGGTGTTCTAGCTGCCTGAATACTTGTTACTCGTAGAAAGTTTTACAGAGAGAAAATTTATCCCGTCGCTAAATTTCCTTACTCTTTGCTTTTATAAGAATTTTCTAGGTACCTTATTAGTATATGGTACCCCCAACATCGAAACGATCGTCTGCAGTAGATTGTCTTTTCCCAAGTTCACTGGTCTTCACTCTTTTCTAATCATTGATCTAACATCTGATTGACTCGACAAAACTAAGGTTGGTTCCTTTTTAAAACTTGTTTGCAACTAAAGGACCCTTTGTAGTATCACTTCAAAGAAGCATGGAAACCACTAGAATTGTTTGGTAACTTATCCGTTTCAGTGGCGTAGATGCTAAAGCAAAATGGGGTTTTATCGATAAAATAACGCTTAAGCTTTTGTATCATCAGAAAATTGAATCCTTTTGTGAAAGGAGAAGTATAACATGTGTCATCGTCAGCTAATGGGAACGAAATTAACTCTTGCAGCAATGATTTTCGGACAGGAACGAGCCCTATCAGGGCGGCTTCAGAAACAAGATCGCCTTTTACCAACATTTATTTTTTTTCTCTGATCTAAAGAGCCAAAACAGGCCATAAAAGCTCAGTTTCGAGCGATGGTTGTTAAAAGCAGTTGAGTATAAAGTATAAGGGAGAATGAGACTTTCCAAAATTTGTCCCAACTTATTAACTTTCTTCCACGATGCCCAATAGTTAAGGAGTCGAACGTTTTAATGCCGAGCTCTTACAACCGAATTTTTAAGAACGATTTTGGCGGACACTGCTGGAGGACAATATCAGGAAGGTTGGACCATGAAAATTGACCGTGTTCTCTATTCAAGAGATTACAGGCATAACCAATTCTTTCTACTATAATTGTGGCCTACCTTAAATTCAGTCACAAGCCAATGATTTCACTTGGATGTCTTGAACTCGCTGCTTTCAGTAGGCATGCTAGGCCAGTTTTTATATGCTTTCTCAGCTTATTAATTCAGTACGGAAAATCGTCCGGAACGGAACAAAACTATGGACGGAAGTTAAAATCAGTATTATCCTATTTTTAGCCTTGGCAACTAATCCAGTTGCACACCTGCTCTAGTTGGACATACCATCCCCACGTGCCCTTTTCACGTTCCCATGGCTGTCATAACGGTATAAACGTGGAAGGCTTCCTTGTAACCTCTACTCTTAAAAAGCCTCCTGAAGTGAAAACCTCTAGCAGTCAGTAATTTTAACAACATCAGGAAACTGAAAACTGATTGTATTATAAAACTTTAAGGAATTTTTAAAATCAGAATTGTTCTTAATAATTAATGGAGTGATTCAAAAATAGACGTTTATCTACGCATATGGGGAACTATTACGTTCACATCAGCTATTTTAGTTTTTGGTATGTGTGGATTTTTTTTCCGTTAAGCTTCTGTTTTTAAAACTTTCCTTTCGGCAAACAATTTTAAAGTTCAGCGCGATTTTCTCCTCTTATTTCAGGTACACTAAACAGCGACCACCTTTTTTGCGCTCAGGGGTTTCAGATATAGAACAAACAATAGTATGTTTGGATTTATTTTATCGGAACTTAACTGTTAACTCAATTTGATGGTATCGTTGGGAATCTGCAGATAGCCGTCAAAGTACGGTAACAACGCAACAACCCTACCTTAGAAACGCAAACCGGTAGTAGTCTTCTGTAAACCGGAAGGTTTAACATTTAAAATCTTAAACAATAGTACTGTTACTGTTATAGTAAAAAGATCTTTAGTTCCGGCTTATTTGGTGTCAGTAAAGGAACGAGTAATATATTTATGTATCCTACACTAAATTTATGATATCGTAGTGGAAAGTGCCGCGAAGAACAAGTAGAAAGCAAAATTTACTCAGGAATTTTATTTTTATCAAATGATGCTTTTTATTATACACGTTTAGTAATGCTACTTCAATGTGCTCAGACATGCGCACTTGCTGTTTTTGTAATGTGCAGTATCAGGGAGTCCGAGTATTCTACCATCTCCTGTTTAGTATTAATGTCAGTTTGGTAGACGCCACGTTACTCCCACGAGCTCTTGCTTATTGACTTAAGAGCTATTCGCTCCGAATCCGGTCCAAGTTGTTCATTAGATAAATAACGCTATCCACTGGCTAAAATCCGGTGGAGAACGCAATAGGTTCCTTTAAAACTTATCCCTCTGATTAGTGATGTATCTGGTGGGTAGCACGACCCAACGTTTGAACAACAGAGAGCTGTTCTTTAAAGCACTCCAAGGACCACCATTAGTCAGTAGTGGGCACACAGCCCCGTTATGTATACTAAACTTGTCTTAATTACGTACCACGAGGGGTGATTGGCGAGGGAGGTTAGCTTCTAAAACTGAAAAGGAAATAAACGCTAGTTAGCTGTATCGAATCGAGATATTTGTCTTGCAATTCTATTTTTAAAAAATGAGCTCATTTCTGGGAAGTAAACTAATTTCGCCAACCTTTTACCCATCTGGGCTTGAACTAGTAATCAGAAGGTTATAAAGTCTATAAATTCAACTTCTATTGTGAGGATTTTTTCTCGAGCCGCCTGAGTCAATGACATGTTGTGTTCGGTTGTGATGCTGGTCAGAGCTGCTTGGCTGAAGGTTGTTTAAGACACTGAGCAGTAAGTGCCAACTGTTCCGTCACAAGTGCACAACGCTTGTTATCATTTCTGTGACGAAATGTACGTCTTACAATGCATACATTTATTGCCTTTGGCAATCTGGGGTTGTATTTCTTAAGGTTGCCTATCTTTCCCTATCGTAATATTACAACGGTAATTGTAACGGTTATTGTAAGGATGGATTTAGATGATAAGCGCTGGCACGTTTAGAACTTTGTCTTCGGGCAATAATGACGATAAATTGACATATTTATTTGATATATTTTTGGAGCAGTTCATGCTTTCTGCATAATGTGATACTGTGAAAGTGCTTTTCCTCTCGTCTTAATGTAGAAGGTAGGAACCCCGGGGCGACTCCCATATAAAAGAGATGGAGATAAGGGAGTCCAATCTCGGTTTGGCTCAACCTTACCCCTAAAGGAAACCATACTTAAAGCTAGAGTGTTTTTTATTGTGCTAAAGATGTTGAATTAAAATAGAACGCGTTCTTCTATAATAAGATTTCAAAAGCGTTGTCTTAAATCTCTAGTTTTTTGCAAATTTCCTTATGAACAGCCCTAAGCGATACCTGAATGGGTAAATTTAGTGACGTTCCGTCCCAAACACGGTGAGGCCATTGTCTGCAATTTACACCCCTAAGCGAGACGACGAGTATCCCCGACAGTTTTATATGAGAGTGTTCCCTCGGGGTAGGAACCACAATCCATAACACAGATAGACGCTACACGATTTGATTACGTCACTGAGCCCAGGCGAAGACTTACCACAGTCATGGAATTTTATCAAGGATGTTGGTGGAGCCAAGAAGGAAGATGGAGCCTTATTTCCTCTTGAACCGTGGGCTCCAGTTGCTTCGTAGTAAACTACATCTGAGCCGCCCACCAACTTGGGGTTGCAAACGGAAGTTTATTGCTCATACTATAATTAAATGACAGCTTCGAGTGAGCTTATGGATGGAAGTTTGACACAGGTCTCTGCCATAAGATACCGTATGATGGAGATGATGGCAATCACATTGGATATACTCTGGAAAGGAATTAACCCAAGACCATCCCAAACGAAGTCTTCTTATTTAAAGGTCCGTTATGCCTGGAGAAAAGTAAAGTAATGAAGACTGGAGGTCTGAGGTCTGAGGTCTGTTTTCAAATGCAGGGAATTTCGGCGAACAAATGATCATTTTCGTTTTCGTAAATTATGATAAAACAGATCTCTTCTGCTTACTCAACGTGTCTGTTGTTCTACCGAAATGAGCGAAGGAGTTAAAAGCGAGGGTAAGAAGAGAGGGATCCGGAGGCTACAGTAATACACATGGTGATCACAAAGTTCGTATTGAGTCGACTTTGAACAACAAGCGTTTCGTTTTGATTTTTTGGTATTTCGAATCTAATATGTTCACTGTTTTTGCTAAGAATTTACCGATAGCCGGTATGACCTGGCTTGATTTATCAGGGTGTATCTTTCTAAGATAGTTTGGCCTGTTCCTATTCCTTGTCATTTACATCTGTCATCGCCCAACGTTCTTTTTGTCCCAGAAGTTCCTAAAATTCCATAGAAGACAGCCTGAAGATCTGCAAGTGCAAGTGCCTCAGCTAAAATAAGCTAACTCGTTCTCTGTAACAGTATTCATCTTTTCGAAATTATACCTGTCAAACGAGGGGAACGCTTGCTCGTTCGTAAGGAGCAAAGTCCACAGTAATTTGAGGGCAAAATAAGAAAGCAAACAAAAACATGATATACAATTTCAAGGACAATTACTACTTGATTTTTTATAGATGCTACTTGAAAAACCTCTTTTCTAATGACCTAAAATGAATCAGGGCCGGTAAATGAATGACACGAACTTAGAACACTCTGTAAGTTAAAAATTGAATTTTACAAATCCCCTCTAAACGAACAAATCGTCAAGATAAAGTAAAACGTAATATAATTGTTTTCTTTAAATTAAAGATGCTCTTTGCCTTTTCTTCAATAGATATTTTGGTTATATATTGTTATAATGTATTTGTTATATATTTGTTAAGCTAGGGCCCCCGGTAGGTACTTTGATGGGCAGTTGCAATTGTAACAAATTAAAACGGAAGATGAGAACATAACACTACCTGATACTAATGGATAAGTGGGGTGTATTTGTAATTTACGTAAGCAGGTGGCAAGAAATTAAAGCAAATACACCTCACTGTCAAAGTTAAAAATAATCATTCGCTCAAGTGATGTGCAGGTAACTGTAGTTAACGGATCAAACTGAACTCGAAATTAGGAGATATTAGTACTTGGTTATTCTCATGGAGCTTTCTCATTGACTACAAAAATACTTGAACTACAAAAGAGTATATAAAAAGTGAAAGTAGATTATATTCAAACTTCGTGCTCTGTGTTAATATTATGGAAGCTTATTGGCTGCTTTACGCGTGTTAATTGCCTGTAACGCAAGAGCGACCGTTCCATGAACTTAAAGGATAATTTTAATATTGTGTCATCTTTCCATTCACTTGCTTTTGCGATGAAGTGTGCGCAATTTGAATACATATTAGGAGTTTCAAAGAAACGTCTTGTTGGTGTTTTACCACCACGAGATAAACACACTTTCTGGCTGCGTGAAGAGTGAACTCAAAATTTGTAATACCGCAGGCGACTAACTCGAAATTCTTCATATTGCACCCGGCATACTCGAAATTTCTAATACTGCACTAGGCTATGTCTCGTGTTATCGATAAATTTCTCTTTCACTTGCGATCATTTGCCAGTAAGGAACTAATATCAGCATTTGTATCCTTAATTAATTCAAAAAGGCAATGTATATTGAGAGAGGTGATATATGGTATAGTTCGGCAATTGATGTTATCGTTGTTGTTTTTTTTGTTCCTTTGTTTACGTCAACTGCAATTTCGCACTGGCGGGTTGATTTTTTAATTGTTTCAATATTATTATTCTTTATAGCTACGGTAAAACGGTCAACGAAAACGTGCAAAATGTTGTTGCGCGTTTTAAGTTGGCCTAAAAGTTGGCCTGGCTAGGAGGATGAACCTATTATCAAAAAGGGTGATCCGGCTGATTTCGAGTGCCGTTTTTACATCACCCAACTATAAGATAAAGGAAAGGTGATAGACTAGTTCCTATATATGTGAGTTTTAAGTTCGTGTTTACTTCCCGCCATTGCTCCGAGAGGTTTTTCTGCAGTTACTCCCGCACTCTGATCAGTATTTTCAAATATAATATTCCAGTTCGTTCCTGAATTTTAGACGAAAGACAATTTGTGAATGTGCTACTATTAAATCGTTATACAATACAAAACAATACAATACAATACAATACAAATAACCTCAGTATATTTACCGCTTCGGTAAAATTCATTCAGGTACAAAATGACCTAACAGACCTCTTAGATTGTTTGTTGTGTGATAACACTCCAGAGAACAGTTTCTTTCCTTCTTCCGACCTACCCTGTGAGCAAAGGCCCTTCGATCTTCCTAGATAAGTCAGGAAGACTCCCGTCTCAACTAGGAAGATCGAAGGGCCTCTGCTCGCAGGGTACTTTCGACCGAACAGCTTATGTAGATGGTACTCCTTTCGGTTTCTTTCGTTATTATTTATTAATTATTAATATTATAAGTATTATTGTGATTACTCAACTTCAATAACTCTCCATTCTAGAAGTTGAGCATATACAAGAAAAAAGAAAGAGCATCATGAGGGATTATTGGCTGACACATAAGTTTGAGAAAAATCCTCCAGCCAAGGCTGAAAGTTTAGGATTTATCTTTGTTGATGACAAATTCCAGATAATCATCTGTGCAATCGCTGAAGTGGCAAGTACGACAATGAAGACGATATTTGCTCAGCTTTATAATAAGACCTGGAGAGGTGAAGACGTAAGTATGACGGACTTAAACTTTAAGGGGAAGTAAAAGAGCTCACACTACAATTCGAAAAGAGTGGGAGAAGTTTCCCCGGTGGTGTGGTCTACCATTACCGTCATTACCGTACCTCTGTTATCATTTCACTTATCAGACTTAACATGCAGTATACAACAGAAATAGATCGATAGCAGCAGGCAGTGGCGGCTTTACTGCTTAAGTCCGAGGAACTTACGGTACAGATATAATGTACAGAGAACACCTACCGTTGTCCTCTCACCGGCCGCAACATTAATTACTTTACATTATACTGTAGCCTGATCCAAGTGTTCCGATAGCGGGATCGAGGTAGCAGGGGAGGCTGGAGGAAGCTTGTACTTTATAATAAAATGGACAGAGCAATTGAAAAGATCTTCATTTCGTTATATATAAGTGCAAGTTTCAGGCTGAAAGTAAATGTTTAAATGAAATTTTAAAGACAAACGTTAAAACAAAATCAAACCCAGCCTTAAGTTCTCGAGCAAATAATAATGTGTAAATAAATAATAGTTAGTTATGTTTAAAGCAAACTAACTACCACATTCCGGCGCGGAAGTTATGTACTAAAAAAGTAACATTCACATTGGTCACGTGGAAATATGAGCAGCCCCATTTTTTATCATTTTGTTTGAAAAATTAAAGCCTTAAGGGTACTGTGAGTTTTATTGGCAGTCTTAACAATTCAACCGGGTTCCGAGGATGCCATCTTTTAAAAAAAAGGTTTCAGTGCCTAGGTTATTACGTTCTATAGATAGAATTCAGATATAACGCGCACTCTGGTTGGTCGAAAACTCGTGCTTTATGAGAGTATAAAAACGGAGCTAAAGCTGCCACGTCATCTCCCAATAGTTTGTTTTAAAAATTTCAAAGAAATGCGTGGGGAAATTAACGGATTCTTTATCAGAAAACAAATAAAGAAGCTCTGTCTGTGCTCTGATCTGTTGTACCGTTGTAAAGTACTTAGGAAGCCGCGGCCAGAGCACTCAAGAAGTACACACTCGACTACGTCTCACGTTTCCTCTGCACAAATTACGGCACTAGCCTCTTCCTGCGTGCTTCCCATTATAGAACAGAACACAGTCAAGGCTTCTTTATTAGTTAAATAACCAGCAGTTATTTCCAACACGCACTTAAAAAAAATTTCATCGAACATGCTTTGTGAATACTTTCACAATGATTTCCCTTTATTTTTTCAGGTTCACTTTTGGACGTTGGGTAAGAAAGGGGATATGGGTTTGAAACCTCCATATAATTACACAGAAGAACGAAGGGCGATACGTTTGAAGACTTCAAGTTCCCCTTTGTTGGAGAGCCCCTCAATCGATTGCTCTCGGCCTTCAAAGACAAATTCATAGCGAACAGGACGTCACTTAGAAGATCTGCTCGAGACAAAATAGTTAAATCCTATCGGCCTCGTGATTACATCTCTAATGGGGAGAATGTGGTTACTTTCCTTGAATTTATAAAATACTGCTCTCACTATAGAATGCGCGATCACCATTGGCGTCAATACGAGAAAATCTGCCATCCTTGCCTTGTTAATTATGACTTCATTGGTAAGCTGGAGCTTTTGGCAGAGGACGGTCCATCTCTACTAAAAATGGTGGGCATCAGTGACCGAGTAGCTTTCCCGCCAATCCACCAACATACAAGAGGCGATGAGGTTCTGAATTACTGCTCTAAGGTTCCGCCTGACGACATCAAGCAGATTGGAGAACTGTATTTTAGCAATTTTGCGATGTTTGGATACGAGTTTCTGGGCCCTGTGAAGTCAAATGTGAAAAACTCTTGATTTCTAGAAATCTCTCTAGCTGAGACGACAATGGCCATTCTCATGCCCAGGGGGGGCAATCTCTATAATGGCCTATACGGGAAGGGTCCGCCAGAAAGGGGTGCCATTTTCAGGCTTCAGATGAAAGGGTACGGATGTCACTAGTTGAAGTATGCTAAACTGGAAGGAAAATGGAAAATCTGTCATTTCGTAGCCCAAAAGGGCTACTAGATGCATTTTATGGTTGTGAAAAAGTCGGGAAAACGTTCTGGTTTTTTTATTTAGTATATCTAGAAAGAAGAAATAATTTAACCTCCCAGCAAAAAATTTCTGAGATTATTGCACATTAACAGGTGACCAGGAAGGCTATTTATGCATAATCTTTGCAGCAGAGTCCTGAAAAGTACCTTTTTAACTAGGATTGATTGCGTAGTGGTAAAAAGAGATGTGCGCAGACTATTTACTTGAGCTATTCTCAAGTATGACGGCCTCTGATTCGTATATAGTCCCTTGTGGACTAATTTAAAAGGTAAGTAAAAATCCCGTGTCCCGTCCATCACCTGCAGCCATCCAAGGTTTTATCTTTAAGGAAAAGAGATAAATTCTTTTCTGCAGATCTGTTCTTAGCTCAGTTGGGTATTCCATGACGTCACTGCTGCTTTATCATGTCTTACTAAAATAGAGCGTGTTCATGTGACGTCACATCCATTTTCGTGTCCCATAACAATGAATACGCGGCCAAGTTGGTACCCCAAATCAATGCTGTGGAACCTTTTGAACCTTTTTCTTATTTAAAAACCTTCTAGCGTTCCACAAGATTTGAGTAGCTGCTGGCGACGCAGGACTTTTATCACGTGAGTCCTGAATACAGTAAACACTTGCTAAAGAACCTGCATTTTTTGAGGTCTGGCAAAAAAGGTTCTGTTATTTTGGGGTTTATTTTGAAATTGTAACTACAAAATTATAACCAAGATACAAGCAACAAATGGAAGGAACAGTAAAAACAGGCCCCTGGACAAACTGGAAGAATATGCAGTAGTATTTAAAACGCTACAGTTTTAATTAAAAATGCTAATGTCAGGTCTATTAACAGTGTCAAGCAATGAAAAATGCCAGCTGTTTTAAGTATGGACCTCAGCCATTGAAAACCGCCACCCCTTTCACATGCTTCCACCTCACCCAGAGTAATAAAAAATATTGCTCCTATTCCTTAAATTAGTGTCACTGGACATTGAATTGATGTATGTTTTATGAACTTCTGCCGTGATTATTGAACTGTGATGTGGTCAAGTCATTGTCTGAACTATGGTCGGCAAAAGAGAAAACCTGCACCCCTTCCAACTTAAACTCGATCTATCTTGCCCAAAGTAACAAAATACTTTGCTCCTATAATTCCTTGATTTTGGACAAAGGAAATTGGGTTGATGTGTGTTTTTGAACTAATACTGAGATAATAGCATGTGTACAATTGCACCCTCCCCACAGAAAAAAATGCTGTACACAGGCTGCTGAGATTATTGAACTGGCATGTCGTCATTGAACTAACTTCTGTTTTAAATCTTTATTAAGCCCGTTCAGTCCCCTTCTTTTACATTTGTGTGTCCCAATAAATATAAGCTACATTGAGACTACAGACCAGTTTGAATGAGATGTAGTAGTGTGGTCATTGAACTATTTCAACCTCTATTCAAAAATTTTAGGCTTGTAATAGGGGTCGTCTAGCTAAATAAAATGAAATAAAGTTAAAACTAATGATAGCAATAACAAAATCTCCTTCAAAAGATAAAATGGATAAGAATATCATAGTATTAATTATTGTACAATATTAAAAAAATACCAAAAAACTTAAGCAAGGGAAGACTGCCTTTATAGCAAGAGATTTTTGTCTCCCTCATCAAGATTGACTGACGTAGTCCAAAATGATTGATTGATCAATACTGGCACCTTCCTTCTCTTCAACCTCTTTCCCGGATCCGAAAATAAAGTTTATTACTTATCACCCGAGAATCTGAGGATCTTCCTGTAACGATTACTGAGAGTTAGGTAAATATAAGCTTCAACAAGTTTTGCAGTTTTATTTATTTTGTCAAAAGCATTCATTGTTAGTAACGTCGTAGACTTAAATCTTGGTGTAAGGACATAATAGGGCCATTTATACGAGGAAAAATAAGACGCGAACTTTCTGTATAAACGGCACATTTCGTCTAAAATAAGACGCGACTTAGCTAAGACGAGTCTTATTTTAGAACAGCCCTTAACACCTGTTCTTAGATAAGACGCGTCTTAGCTAAGACGAGAAAAACTTCGTATAAATGACCCTCGCGTCTTACATAAGACGCGAACGCATGGTACGCATGCGTTAATTTTTGGCGGGAAAATTTTTGCGCCTTGTTGGTTGCCGTTTCTACGGGCAACACTCACATGAAAACGAGTCAAGAACAGAAATAAGACGCGAACCATTTATACGAGCTGTTCTTGTCTCAGATAGGACATGCTCGTATAAATGGTACATTTCGCGTCATATTTAAGACGCGTCTTATTTTTCCTCGTATAAATGGCCCTAATGTGGTCTTCATAATCAACTCCCGACCTGTCTTCGGTTCGTAAGAATCCGACTACTTTGCAGCCATTTCTACCTCAGGTTTTGCGAATTTTGAACCACTTACCTGTCCACCTAAAGTTTACAAGACTTAAAAGAACAAAAACTGAGCCGTATCAAGAAAACGACACAAGATCTGGCAGGCTGTACCCTTCCCATGGTCCCTTGCGGCTTATCACCAGTCAACTCGCATTTCGCGCTCGCTTCTATCATCCGAAAAACAAAGCGCCTGAGGAGGAGGAGGCTGCCAGCGTGGCGTGTGTGTTCTTGTCTCGCTGTTAAGAGAAGCAAGATAAAAGGCACGAAAACAACTCTCCGATCATCTGGGTAACCCTGGACAGACTACACTCACTCAATCACCATGAGACGTCGCAAGAATCTTAAAGCAATCTTCTTTTTTTTGCCCATCTACTTGGTGCTTTCAGGGTTGTTTTATTACCGTCATAAATCGTCTAGGAGAACTGGAAAGACAATACGGTTCGAGCTAGACGAAAACGTAACAGAAGGCCAAGAATATACAGTGGGTCAAGGTACGATTAACTGAGTAGTTCATCTTCCAGCTTTTAAAATTTACAGCACTTTAATCCGTATATAAAAAGGGCAAACCTTGGATTCAGCATACCATAATACTAAAATAACAGCGTTTAATTTTAACTGAATTTCTTAATTTGAACTACACCTAGTATATTCGATCCAGTGCAACCTCGAGTTAAGTTGTTCATCAAAGGGAATCCATCTGACTTCACGATGGGTGACTTGCACCCAATACCGCAACTGTGAGAATAATTGGCAAATACCGAAATAAGCGTATGGCGAAAATCGAAGAATCTAACTGATGCCGCAATTATGATCGGTCACGCTTACTTCAAGTTGTATCCATCTCGAGTGTTTGTTTATCTCAAGCATGTTTATAGCAACCTCAGCCATTGCAAGGAAACGTGAAAAGACGTCGAATTGATCCGTAAAATGTCAGAGTTTGCGTAGTTTTATTAACCTTTATGGCTTACTGTGTTTTGTGTAGCATATTGTTTTGACATGTATTAGTTAGGAGACTGCGCAAATGAACTGCACCGCGATACCGTGAAGGATCTTCTTTTACCAAATACCGTTAACCAAAAACTCAAAAAGATGAAAAAAAGAAAAAAAACATACTTTAGGGCCAGATGATACCGCCTCGCCTCGTCTCTCCTCGCCGCTGTGCGGCTTGGCTTCAGCTCGGCTTCGGTATCACAGAACCTTCATTTTCTACATGACTGGTCTCTAGCGAAGGGTTTTTCGCTTGATATCACTTAGTGTAATTTATTCACTGATTTGAATTCGGATGCATAAAAGTGAGAATCCATTCTAATTAGAAGCACTAATACGTGAACGCGGCCTTCTTTTCGTTAACCTTTGTTTCAGCGGAAAAAGTGCTTTTGGTAATTATGGTACTACAGCCCATGTGAACTTTGATGGTGAATAATTGCTGATGAATAAATGAAAAAAATAATACTCCAGCAAAACAGACTGGCAAATTAAGACTCGAACGTTTCTAAGGGGCGCACTTGACCATGAATGCATGACTATATAATGCGTCAAAGTAGCTGGGTTTTTTTTATATTGGCATGAGCTTGATCCGAATAGCACTATGGACAGCCACATGCATGACATGCAGTCTTATTAGTAAACTAATATTTTGAGGACAAAAATTTAAAATAAAACCCTATAGGTACAAGAAGAGAATGATTATGATTTTGTTTTGGTAGGTCTATTATATATGCTAAACCAATGGAGTAAAAAGCCCAGATCTTTCCATGAATAAGATCTTTATTCAATTTATTGTCACTCTACTGATGCAGTTACTTTAAAGGCAAACTATTGGTATCTTCTTTTAGTATACATTCATTATCAGAAAACGTTGTTACGTACGACTACATCTGGTTTGATTTGGTATTGAGTTCATCTTCTTTGAAAAAAGTAAATAAAGTACATGTCAATATTTCATTGGCTTTGTTATTGAATCAACAACAAATACCACAGCATTGCCTTAACCCTCAAGTTAAAAGGAACTCAGCTTCAAATAGATTACTCCACTCACCAACCGAATCTCTTGAATCTAAAAATTGATTGTAATAACCCCAAAAAGTCTTTATAGTTGTGTGGGAACAAATATAACATTTTCTTAATAAATATGTGCCAAAGTTCAATCCAAACTATTAACTTATAGGGGTGTACCTGCCTTTAGCAAATAAGCAGGGGCTTGGAAGTGATTCGGATGGTATATGATATATATTTTTTAAAAAAATAGTTGCACTGGTAAAGAGCCGTGTATTTTCCTTTGGCCTGGTCGATCATCTCGTACAAGAACTAAATGACAGGCTTATGTCACAAGAGAATCGTTTCTTAGGACAATATCTTGTTTCAGCAAAGCTGAATGCTTTCAACAGCGGAGTACAAGATATATAAGCTTTATGAAATCTACAAAACCGATCTTTCAAAGAAGAGAGACTTTGACAATGAAATTTTATGGTGGCAAACAAAGTGGTCTCATTCAACTGATGAAAAACCAGGAACACTCACAGAGACACTCCAGCACGCTAATCTGGACCTTTATCCCAACGTGGTCACAGTTATTACCATCCTCCTAACAATGCCAGTGTCAACTGCTACCCCCGAACGATCTCTTAGCAGAGTGAAGACGTGCTTACGTTCCACGATGAAAACAGAGCGACTCGCAGCACTTGCTCTGATGTATGCTTACAGAGACATACCCATTGATGTAGAAGCCGTGATTCGGGAATTATGCGCCAAAAAGAACAGACGTCTAGCTTTCGCGATTTCTTTGAGTTTGCCAAGATTTCAGATATGTTTGCAACTAATGTGTCGCTTGTCAGGTCATTACGTTGTTGCTGTAGTTGACCACAACCACGACTGGCTGCATTTTGTTAAATATTCCATTATTTCTTGTTCAATATGGAATCCTGGCATTTGCCAATTAATTTAAGCGCCCAGATTGCACCAGATTACATCTCAGAGTACTTGAACTTTCAGAATTTTCCGGGAGGGCATGCCCCTCGACCCCCTAGCATGTCGCGCCTTGGGCTCTACTAATGGGCGCTAATGCGCCCATATTGTATCTCCCCTCAATATGCTTCACCAAGGCTTACAAACAAAAAAATGCCTAGGAACGCCCCTGACTTAAATAAGTTTATTATTTTTTAAAAAGTGCATACCTTCATAAATAGACTTATCTAGTATGGTAAATAAAACATAATTATATTTTACATTAATAGATGTATTTTGTGAATTTCCTTAAACCATTTACCCCAAAACGTTGTACAGAAAATAAAGAAACAAAGTTGCCTGCCAAAGAAGCCATTTAAAACAAAATATACATTACTGACACCCATCTCCCAGTCTCTAACAAGTTATTTGCAAGCAAAGAAGTAACCACAAGCCTGTGTGTGTACCTCGTTGTGGATAATCTTGAATGTACAGTAGCTTATAAACACAGCAAACAGAAAAAATTTCTCTCCCAATTCTAGCTTAGAATTCTGGCTTATTCATGTACCAAATGTGCCAGCTAGAAGACCTCTTTAGCTTGTATATTTTGTTTTTTTCAATGCGGGCCATGTGATAACACTCCAACGAACAGTTTCTTTTCCATGTTATTTCAGACGCTGCTCATGTACAAGAAATACGAAAGAGAATCGTGGAGGATTATTGCCTGACTCATAGATTTGACAAAAATCCTAATTTTAATAGAGACAACTTTGCATTTGTCCTCGTAGATGACAGACTCAAGTTAATCTACTGTGCAATCCCAAAAGTAGCAAGTACAACAATGAAGGAGATATTTGCTCAGCTTTATAATAAAACTTGGAGAGGTGCTGATGTAAGTATAACTTAAACTTGAAGCGGACGTGCTAACACACACTATAATTCAAAAAGAGCGGGGGAAGTTTCCCCATTAGTGTAGTCTCTTCACATATCACATATATCATACAGTAGCGCAGGGAACATAGGTGTTATTTGTGACCTTGATTGAAGTTAAATTTTTCAGCTATAAATATTGGCATTAGCCTTTGTTTACTGTAGAATCGAATATGAACTTGAGCGATCCTGTTACAGACCTGATAAAACTAGAAATAGCTGGCGCTAGAGTGCCAACGAGTAAAAACGGCGACAGTTGCTTGCCGAATGAAAATGAAGAAGTAACCAGACTACAGAACATTTTTTTCAAATTGAATGATTGTTTAAAAAAGCATTGCAAAACGCACATGCTATTCTTTGTTGTTTAGAATGTCCGTAAGAACTAAACTTGTAAGGCAGATTAGAGCTGAAATATATGTAGCCCTTGCATTACCTGAGACAAATGAGCATGAATTGAAATGTGTCAAATGTCTTTAATACCAAAACTTGTAACGTAAATTACAAATGCAAATCTGAGATGCTTTTTCTTCGTCTTTTAGAATGTTTTTAAAAACGAAACTTGTAAAGTAGATTCCAAATGCAAATCCTTGTTTTTTGAAATGTCTTTAAGAACTGAACTTGTAACAGAGATAAAAATGCATATCTCACATGATTTCTTTGTTTTTTAAAATGTTTCATGTTCGTGTTTTAACATGATTTTAGAAGGCAACTTTGAACGTAGTTTACATAGTAAGTAGTTTCATGCCAAGATAGCCCATTAATCAATCGTTCCATAGTGTCATTGCGCCAGTCCATTTGAAAGAGATGTCACCTGGGTTATGGTGTTTTTGTTCACATTATAGGTGAAGTGGATATCCTTGAGGTCCATAAGGTGGTCTTCAATAGATTCTGAGTCACTCATAAGGGAAAGCTCTGGAGACAGAGCCAGAAGACTTTCAATTTCTTTTTGTGAACGCTGTCAGCCATATTTCCTTTCCAGCTATTTCTACTTTGACTTGCACAGATGCATCTCTCTTGCATTCGCCTTGACGCTGCCTTTTCCCACAGTTCCTGCATTTTATGTACTTCTGATGGGCACTCTCTGTTATCTTCCTCTTACAAGCTTGACAAGCAACGAATATGCTTAGGTTGTTAAGAAACTTGAACATGTCGACTTTAACTTCTTTTTCTGGGTTTTCCAGTAGTGTAGGCCCTTGCACAGACTTAAGTTGTTTGCTGGCTTCCTTGAAGGTAGTTGCTGGTGTCGTTGCTAAGTGGGTGCTTCCTTTGAAGTGCTTGACGTTCAGGTTTTGGAATTCATATGTTGTCCCATTTTTCACGTTGTTGATGAGCTCATCCCAAATGTGAATTTCAGCTGTACCTGTCTCATCTTCTAAGACACAATCCTCTTTGACGAGCGTCATCTTTTGTGTGGATTTCACTTCAACCGCTTAGGTTGTTCACTGCCCAATGAAATCGTTGCTGTGACGTTGACCTTCTGGTTTATCTTTAGAGTTGGTACCTGTTCCAGAGTGATCGTAGTAGCAGGTTGCACTGAAGAGGAGGATGACTCAGATGCAGCAATGTCTGGAGAATAATCAAAGTCAATGTCGAACGCTGGTGCAGACCTTACAATTGACTGTTGGTTGAAGATAATGTCCTTGTTCGAATCATTCTTCTTAGTATTTGACAGCAGCACAGGGGTTTTTGATTTGTTATGTCCACTGAAGGTTGAGTGGCTTGGGATATTAAATCCAACTACTCGCTGTACTTTGGAAGGACTTGTTTGCAGATGAAACTCAAACCAATCCGTTCTCTTTGAGCGTTTTACAGGGCTTAAATTATGTATAAAGCCACAGAGTGATTCTAAGGAAAAATCAAAGATTCATGTTAAATAGGCAACAAATCACTGTAGTCTCTGTGTTTAGTACCTATTCACCATTTTCCTTGCATTCTGATCTACTGTTCTTCCCCCATAATCATAATACTTACCCGAGTTAAGGTCTGGCTCACGCTTTGACATTCTTTCCACAAAGAATCTGTAACAAAAATAAAAATTCTAAATAAAGGTTATGTACATTGTAGCAGTTTTCCACTCAATTTATGCCATTATTTCAAGTTAAAATCTGTATCCTTTACATTATCTTGAATCAAGGCTCACATCTGGTTAATCAAACTCTAATTGTTAAAAGTGGTTTTATCTGGTTTGGATGTTTAATATATTTAGGGCAATAGGATTCTACAATAAACTGTCCAAAGTATCTTGGGCTAAACCATCTAGCCGCTCTTCTTCTTTAAGTCTGTAATTTAAATTGCACATTTTTTGGGTGCTTGCAGTCTATCCAGGGTCATGGGTTCTACCATTAGGTCTTCAAGTTTCTTAACTCTACTTAGTGCAACATATGTCATTCCTGAAGATTTTTCTGAAGGACCAAGATCAACCCAGGCTTTCTTTAGCGTTAAACCTTGACTCTTGTGTATAGTGATTGCCCATGCTAACTTTAGGGGTAATTGCTGTCTTTCACATTTTTGACCTAGGTTTTGAGAAACCTGTGTTATTGGACAAATTGGAACACATCTTGGAAATCTAGCAGAAAGAGTAGGGCCATTATAATCGTCGTCAAACTGTACAAGAACACAAATTGGTAGCGTCGGGGAGTCTGGTCATGTGGATAAACAAAATCTAATACTGTCCCTAGGGCTCCATTACAAAGTCCAACTTCAGTCCAGATGTTCATAGTGAGCATTACTCTCGCTCCTTTTGCTAAGTAAATCACAGGCTCTAGGCCTCCCATTTCATCTGAGCTAAGGTTCTGAGCACCACCAGAGTGACGAGCTTTTATAGTTGCTATTGGTTGATTAAGAGCTTTTAACTTGGCTATGTTTATCTCTGCAACACTAGACTTGAGATAGGATAGTCTTATTGATGACATTTCAAATTCCTGGATATTTGATACACGGTCTGGAGTTCTTGACAGTAATGTATGCCAATCAGCTGGTGTGGATTCACCATTACGTGCTCTGAGAAGAAGATCCCTAAAAGGTGCTGCTCACTACTGTTACCATCAACTCTGTGGTTAACTGTCAATGCAACTACTTTGTTAAACTGTTGATACATGAGATGACCCTGAATCTGCTTATCTGTTTTGGGCATTGAATGGTAAAGTGGTTTATCACCAACAGGGGGTAACTGTGCTATATCACCCACAACAATAACCGAAAGACCACCAAAACTCTGATTTGCCAGGCCTGTAGCTTGTCGGCATCTAGAATCTATCCAGCCAAGCAAACTCTGACCAACCAAAGAGTATTCATCTATTATCAAATACCGAAGATTTTCTACATTACTTTGAAGCTGTTGTAGTGCTATTCCTTTTAGTTCAGTGAGTCTTTTTGAGCCAATTGGCAATTTGAGAAATGAATGCAAAGTTACACCATTCACATTAAAAGATGCTTTTCCAGTGTACGCTAGCACCTTGCATTGTGTTTGGAGTACATTTCTAATGGCGTCAATGAGATAGCTTTTCCCTGACCCTGCAATACCTTTAATTAGAGAAGTATAGGTTCTTTGTCACTTCTGTTAAAGTGATCACAAACTACGTTGTATGCCAATCTTTGGTTTGTACTAAAGCTTGAAATATCTACTATCCTTGTTGGCATTTGCCACTGAGGATTATTCATAGATTTTTGATTCGCTAACCAAGATACTACAGAATTTAGTTGCTCTTCATCAAAGTGTTCAGTAACATTGTGCCAATATCCCTCAGGAGCTAAGACAGAACTTTGTGCATCATTAGTAATGTTTTGAATATTCAACTCAGACATTAACATCCATTCTTCCTTTTCCTCTTCTTCATCATTTTCTGTTGTAAAATTGTCAGTTTCTAGCTTAATAGATTCCTTTAAGGCTTGTAACTTGATTTCCCAGTCAGGAACTACAGCCTTTCCATTGTTACTACAGAGAAAATTCATCCAACATGTTTTGAATGTTTCATTACAGTGTTCAGCATTACTCCAGGCATCATCTGGTGTATGCTCCCAAGGTTTATACTTAAGTAGTTGATATTTACAAAAAGCCCATAATGCTGATTTTGAGGATTTGATGAATAGTTTGGATATGTTTTAACAATTACTGGTCGTTTTCTTTTCTCTAGTTTTGAACCTTTATTAATATATGTAGATGTAAACTGTACAAAGTTGCATTCTAGTATACTTGGAAATGTTTTCATGTATTTCCTTCGCTCAGCATATATATCGAGCATGGATGGGGCAGTACAATATTCCTTATCTCTTACAATTTGAATTCTTCTTGAGCCATCTAGAGATGCATTTATTACTTCATAAGTAGCACTTACACACTTAAGAGAGAGTAAATGATGCATGACCTCTTGAATTGAATAGTCCCTTTGTCCTACAGATTTGATCATTATCTGCTTAAATGTGTTATGAATGTCACTTGTGTCTGAAAGCTTCTGAACAATAGTGGTGAATGCATTATTAACAACGGAAGATGCTTTTTCCCTTTGGATGTGTACTTAACAAGATATTCTAAACATGCCTGGTAATCCACAATAATTTGGATATCACAATTTGCCCTCCATCCTTGAAGCTGCAATGGTTGATGACGATTTAATCTTGAGTCATTTCGTTTAGTAACAATAACTGCTTTATACTTTGGTTGACCTGATTTTGTATGGACAGGTTCAAAATCTATCCTTGTTTTTTACAGTTATCAAATGGAAAATTAAACCTGCAGCATAATTCGCAACCGTCTTTTTCCCTAAGGCAATACTTAGTACTACACAACGTATGCCTTTGAACAGAATTCAATAGATTCACATAGTCATCTTCCATTTTCTCTTCTTTTAAGGAAAGATATGGTGTTTGACATGGATGAGAATTTGGCTTGGACCAACCTTCATCTGGAGAACAAGGATTCCATGTCGTTAATAAAAAATTGACATATTGGCAAACAGTTGCCTCAGCATTTTCCCCCCTTTTCTCCTTATTTTTCAGTTCTTGTAGTTCTTCAATTGATATATTTGCTTGGTGTTCTTTGATATATTTTGATGCCAAAAAAACCCTGCAGTGCAACTGCTGTAAGTTCACAAAGCCCTGGATCATTCTGCAATTTTGCAACTCCGTGACAATGAATCGATCCCTCTGAACAGCATATTCATATCGGTACCAATACCAAGATGCCTGTAATGATTTATTCAGCCAAAACTTCACAAACCGATCAGTTCGCTCAGTGAAAAACCAGTCAATGAGATGTGGATTGTCAATAACATGTTTCTGTCTCAATTTTGGTGTGATATCTCCACAGTGGTCATTACTTAGAAGATTATGAAATTCTGGCCAATGGTACTCTGCACAAGACAAGGTAAAAAAAAAATTGTAGGAGGTCCTACTTGAGCAACGGTAGCCCTTAAATCCTCTTTTTGCTTTGTGCCAATAGCTATTGCTACCAGTTATATTTTTAGCATAATGCATAAGTTTAGACATTAAAGTTGAATGATTATTTGACTGAAGCATCTGTTTAAGTTGTTCCACAGTTAGTTTTGCATCGCTAGGGTTTTGTTTCAAAAAAAACTCCCTTTGACTAAGAAGTCTATGCCTCTGAATCATATTAAAAGCCCAATATGCAAATCGTGGATGGCTTGCAAACCTATAAGTCCACTCATCATTAGAATATTCAGCAAATTTAATTAGATGCTTTATTTTCTCTCCTAAAGTTGCACCCGCTTTATAGCAGTGTTTGTAGGGTCTCCTTTAGCATCAGGAAATAGGGTGGGAAATGCCATTGTTGCTAGAAATTCGATCTTAAATTCATTCAGAGGGCTTGCGTCTCTGTGTGGCCAATTTAATTTATGCTTTTGCAATAACTGATCTGTAATAAGTTGCTTTTGAGGCTTTAAGGTTACTGGATTAAGGATTGTGCTGTTTAATTCTGTCTCTTCATTGAATGGTATTTCATTGACATCAAGTGGACCTCTGTCTGGATCCATTTCCTTATCTTTAGTATTCTCAATACAATCAATCTGATGCAGTTCACTTGGGATGCCTTCAGATGGCAAGGAAGACAAGCAGTCATAATCTATAGTAATATTTTTGTATACAGGGTTATGCTGGACTAACCAGTGTAGAGCACAGCTCACTTTTTCCCCGCCTTACTGTAAGATCTTTATAAGTATTATCTTTGCCTTTGACTGACACAACTATCACAGGCAGCTCCCTCGGATACCTTGGCAATGAGTTAGCTAGCTCTTGAATATCTTGGGAAAAATTAATACAGTGGCCTTTGTATGCCTTTTTGCCCCCTGGTTTTGTATAAACAGATATTACTGGAAATACACGTGCTATAAGCATTTCTTCTAATTGTGTGAGTCCCTGCAGTTCTTTTGGTGCTTGTGAAGGTATCATATTATTGTCAACTGAAAACTTTTTGTTGCATTCTTGTCACGCAAACACCTAGAGCACACATATGTAGATTCATCTTTACATTTTTCTGACAATGGCCATGCTTCATGGCAGATGTTGCATTTATAGATTTTGAATTTCAAAGAATTATGGAAATCTCGCATGTTTTTTTTAGCCCATTCCTGTAAATGAATTGGTCCATTTGTTTGACTATCAAACAAAGACAAATATTTTTCCTTCTCCACAAAACATTTAAATACATTTTGATCTGCTTGCATTTTAAAATCACTGTTAACACTTTTTTGCATGATTTTCCATGATGTCTGTATTTTGTTTTTTTCTTCTCTAATAAGTTTTGCTTGCATTTTAAAATCACCATGAACACTTTTTGCATGATCTTCTTTCATTACTGTATTTTGTTCTTCTTCTCTTGAAATTGTTTTGCTACCAGTTGCAACGTCTTTCTTTCTGTTGTTGTATTCCTTCATGTATATATTTTGCTTTCGTCGTGTAAAGTTTCTCACTATGAAATTCATTGTTTTTCTTTCTCCTTCTGTACTCTTTCATGTAAGCATTTTTCTTCTGTTTTAGGCCAAGTTGTTTTTCACTTTTTTCATGATTTTCCTTCATGTTTGTATTTTGTTTTTCTTCCGTTGCAAATTTTTTGGTATCAGTTTCAATGTTTTTTCTTTCTCCTGTTGTATTCCCTCATGTATATATTTTGCTTTCCTTGTCTAGCAAGCGTCTCACTTTGAGATTCATTATTTTTCTTTCTCCTTCTGTACTCTTTCATGTAAGCATTTTGCTTTTGTTTTTTGCAAGTTGTTCTTCTGCAGTTTCATTACTTTTTCTTTTCTTTCGATATTCTTTCATGTATGCATTTTGTTTTGCTTGTGCAATGTGTTTGTTTGATGGCACTGTTAAAGTATCATTAATGAGTACTTTTGGCACTGAATGTCCTGTGAGGTATTCTTGGGTGTACTTAGATTGGTTCACAGCTGCATGTGCATTACCGCTATCAATGAATGGAATGGCAGACTTTTCATAGACAGCAAAATACCAGCCATTGGCATGGGCAATCAAGAGGTTTTGAAAAGTGGAATATTGCTGAATTGATCTGCAGATATCATCAAAATACAACCAATGTGTTCCTTTATTTATAGCGATAGTAAAATGTTGACTTGCAGAACGCACAACAGCTTTCAGTGAATAATAATTTTCTAAAACGTCCATAGTTAAAGGAAATGTAATTTGATCAATACAATTGGATGACAATTCAATAGTTAAAAATGTGGGAAGTGTTACAAAATGTCGCAATGCAGAAACATCACCACTGTGTTTTTGGCAAGATTCACAATAAAGAGCCCTACTGTGAGGAAGAACAGCTTCTGAAACATGATTTGCAAATTGCGTGGAAATGATATTTGGGCAGGTAATGTAAAGAACAAATATACCTGTCTTATATATGATTTGGTTGCCACATGATGCGCAACACGACTGATTGCATTGCTGAACAACAAACAATGACTTGAGGTCCTCACTTAACTCTCCGACAGTATTCAATGTAAATATGTCACTAAAAACAGCATTGGCAGTCATTGCAGAAAATGATGAACAATGATCTCTGAGCCATAACCACACAGGTTCTCGCACAATGTCAATAGCCCCAAGGTTTTCTCTTTGATTACATGACTCATAGATAACGTCAAAAACTCATTTCGTGTAGTGCTATGAAGATGATTACAAAAACACCATAACACAGCTCGAGAAAACAATCAACTGCACAGGAAAATTTACCTGCATTGTTTAAACAATAATTACTGAAGTGATCTCTACCAAATGAATAGCTGTTTTCCTCACACATTTTTGCAGCTTCCAAGTTATTTATGTTTCCATTTAATATGTGTGCTTCTTTATTAGAAATTGCAAAGGGATTAAAACTACCATTAGAAGGATAAGGTATACGTCTAGACAAATATCTTCCTCGGAATCTGAAAATGGTTACATTTTGATATCCACGTGGAAAATTGAAATTAGTCTCACCACTATGGCCCTGATAATGACTTACGACTAATAACACACACAATAGACGAAGCATCATAAATTCTCGTGAGCTGTTACTTCAGTGCACGCGCTTCAGCAAGTGTACTTTGGACCTGAGCAGTTCTGATTTCAAACGAAGCTAAGCACCCTACAATTTTGGAATAAAAAAACTATCCAAACTGATTTGCTAAGCTCCCTCAAGCTTGACTGATAGTGGCTTCCCGGCAAACAGAGCTTAGACTGTTTTTCACTTTCGGACACGCTAATGGATAAGCAGAAAAAAAAGCGCACAACTAACAGCGACACGCCATGTGACTCGTGTCTCGTTGGTCGATCAAAATTTGTAATTTTGAGCACTGAGCACACTAGCTCGATAAAAAGAGGCTTTATACGCCCTCTGATTGAGTTTATAGTGAATATATTCAAGTGGTTTTGTTTTTGTTTCTTAAATGGCACGCTGGCCGATCTGGTCAAGACAATTGACTGTTTTGGCAAGCTCGCCGTGACTGTGACACTGTCACTCGCCGTTTTCGAGCTGCTCTCGATAACTGCCTCGCTGGGCGATTTTAGCCTCGCTGGGCGATTTTTCAGTCTGCTAGTTGCTAGATTTGCGACCCCGGATCCAAAAACACTTAATTAAAATGCACCCAAGAAGACAACGCTCACGAGTGAATAAAATCAATATTTCCACTCACCTTTTCCTGCCTGGTAATTGATCACCTCGCAAGTCGCACGATGCCCAACACGAACAGGAGATGCCGGGATACACCAGAAAATGCCCACGAGGTTAATGTGGTCATCTGATGTTGGTCATGTGGTCACCGGTCATGATCGTCCTGATGTGATTGGTTTAGATTAAAAAATACCACGATGCCATTGGCTAGCTCGAAAACAATGACCGATGATGTCACTCTTACATTACCTTATGCTTACATTTTGATTCGAGATTTTTTCTCCCTGTACCAAAACTAACTCGCGCGTCGGATTTATGATGCTGCCGCCTCGTCACCCTCGCGTCCTCGCGAGGGTGACTCGTTGGCAATAATATTCAGTGGTCGGTGGGAACGAGCGTCGCCCGAAGGACGACGCATTCAGCTTTCCGAGCGAGGCACGATCTTGGCGTGTTCAGTTCTTTAGATCTGCGGTATATATGTTGTTTAACACGGTTTATAGCAGCATCGCACGACGGTTTGATCAGTCATGTTCATATTCGATTCTACAGTAACAAAGGCGAATCGCGCTTTTAGCAGGAAAATTTAACTGCAATAAAGAGGAGAAGCCGTTACGTCACGTTGCCATGGAAGCATTATATCACTGAAAAAGTGAATTCGCACTGTTTCAAACTTCATCGATCTTATTCAGTTTCATTTAATTTGTGAAATATTGACGAAACTTTTTAGGGTTGAATCCGAAATGAAAGAAGAAGATAATGTTTGTTTTGTGTTCACCTACTCCATAAAGCAGAGGTCTCACGTCGTAGTCGTGCAGTGACGGCTACGAAATGTAGCCTGTACACAGTCGTTGTTTTATTTTTCTTTTCGTTCTTTTCAAAAACATCGCCGAGCGCGCGAGAACGAGCGGCGGCGGTCAATAAATCCCTTGCGGTTTATATTTTATCACGCGCGCTCGACGGACTTTGAAGAGAAAATAGAGGGTCTGTGAACAGGCTGAAGAAATGTACAAAAAAGCGTGATGCACTTGCAAAGTTGTTGTTTTGCTCATATAAATCTATTACTTTTTGCCGATCTCGTTGCCCCTCGCCATCGTCTTCGCTTAAACCCCCTATAAACCTCTTTAGCTTGTATGTTTTGTTTTCCCAAAAGAGGTCCCAGGGGAACTTGACCCTTTGTCTTGTCATAAATAATGCGTAGATATGCACGTGAATAAAACGAAATTTGAAAGAAACGGTTCTCTAGAGTATTATCACATGACCTGCATAGGTAAACAAAACATACCAGCTAAAGAGGACTGTTGTTGTGATCCAGACGTTTGCTACCATGGTAACGAGACGTCACCCTTCTCCTCTCTATCAAGGTCACAAATAACTCCTCAGCTCCCTGTGAGAGTAGCTCGCAACTGGACCTACAGCGGATCGAAGGGACTGGTACCTTTGTATGCTGACGTCTCAGCTTACAGTACAGATATGATGTACAGAGGACACCTACTATTGTCCTCTAGCTGGCCGCGACATTAATTACTTCAGCTTTAGATTTGAGGACGAGGACAACTACGAGTACGAAATTTAACTTAAAGTTTTTTTCGCGTATTCTCGAAAAAAAATCAACCAGGAAAGCTTCATCGTACTATTTTTCACCTGAAAATTAGTGCAGTTATTTTTATTGGAGAGGATTTAGCCCTTTCCAGGTCGCAAAATGATTAAACTTCTAATATTTGATAACTTGTTCCCACCACTAAGACATTCTCGCTAAAACTCGTAGTAGAATGACGACAGCTATCACTTTTTCCCGCCAAGATGAGGTGTGGTTTACGCGCGAGCACTGAGAAAATCTCTTACGCACAGACGTCCTCGTCTCAGAATCTAAAGCTCTCTATTAATTACTATGTAGACTAATCCAGGTGGTGCTACGATAGCGAGGTTAAGGGAGCTGGGGGAGATTGCAGGCTAGTACCTTGTAATGAAGAATCAAGGCCTTGAGGGTACTGTGAGTTTTATTGCCAGCCACTTCTGTTCAGCCCACTACCGAGTATGTCTCCATGCCCAAAAAAGGTTTTACCTAATTATAACGTTATAACGTTATAACCAGCAATTATTTCTAACACACCCTTCAAAAAATTCAGCAACATAGTTTGTGAATTTTATGAATACTTTCACACTGAATTTTCTCTATTTTTTTTTCAGGTTCACTTTTGGACGATGGGTTTGAAAGGAGAGAGGAATTTGACACCTCTATATTTTTATACAGAAGAACAAAGGGCGATACGTTTGAAGACTTACTTCAAGTTCCTCTTTGTTCGTGAGCCTCTCCATCGATTGCTCTCGGCCTTCAAAGACAAATTCTTAACGAATAACGGAACCAGTAGAGAAGTAAGTAGAGCTAGAGAGGATATAGTTAAATCCTATCGCCCTCGTGATTACGTCCGTGGTGGAAGCAATTTGGTTACGTTCCCTGAATTTATAAAATTCTACTCTAATCAGAGAAGGCGCGATCATCATTGGCGTCAATACGATAAAATCTGTCATCCCTGCCTTGTTAAGTATGACTTTATCGGTAAGCTGGAGAATTTTTCAGAGGACGGCCCATCCCTTCTAAGAATGGCAGGACTCAGTGACAAAGCTACTTTCCCGCCAATTCACCAACATACAAGTGGTGATGAGGTTCTGAAAAATTACTCTCAGATACCACCTGACGACATCAAGAAGATTGGAGAACTGTATTTTAGCGATTTTGCGATGTTTGGATACGAGTACCTGGGCCCTGTGAAGTCAGTTCTCAAAAAATTCACTCTAGCTGAGACGCCAGTGACCATTCTTAAGTCTCCATCACGAAATGACATGGTAAACGTGACAGTTAACAACTAAAAGAACCAAAACATGACAAAATACTACAGTAGACTGACCTGCCAGAAATATAATAAACAAATAGAGCATAAACATATTTCATAAAAACACACGGCAGAAAAACAAACAAACAACTTGATCAAACAATGCAAGTATGGTTCTATGACTTTTTCGCTCAAATACAGAGTTATCTCCATAATTCAGAAGTTATTACTCGGACCTGGTGATTAAACTGATGAACTCCGAAGATATTTATCTTAATTTGATTGTCGGCGAATTTCTGTAATCGTCCATCGTTCTGCTAGTGAGAAGCTAGCCGTTGCTCACTCGTCTTGATTGTTTGGGGCTGAGTCTTATTCCGGTCAAAGAGAGAGAAAGAGTGTTTGGCAAGGTTTCCAATGAAAGATTTGTGAACTCGAGTCTGGCAAACTCTCCAAGTGTTTATATATACCAGGAGCCGATTACTTAATCGGCTCCTGTATATACACAGTTATACGCACCTTATAACTTCTTCTGGGCTTAACGAGTGTCGTTAAACTTTTGGTCCATAACTTTCACTGAAACAACTGCTCCACAGAATGTCACTGATAACACGTAACGCAAAAGAGTGTCGAAGTATGACTGCACAATAAAATCACAAAATCTACCAAAGTGGTCCCTTGGTAGCCTGCGTGGCAGGCGTTTGAAAGGGAAAGGAAAGGGAGAAACGCGAAACGCAAAACGCCATTTCGTACTTGCGGGTGCAAACAATAGAAACGTCATCATTACCTACCGATTCCTCGCGGCCCCTGTTCAAGCAATCGAGATTTTTTCTATATTGACTGTATGACTGTATATTTCAACTGTAAGTACTTTCCTCAATATACGCGCGAGTTACTAGAGTGCCTCCTCGGGATTTCGCCTTCTGGGCGAAATCCCTGCGGGGGCAATCATTATTATCAGGAGCCGATTAAGTAATCGGCTCCTGTTATTATCATTTCTTTTTGTTTTTATTTTACGTACCTCTTACAATTACTGTAATTAATTATAGTCATGCAAATAAAGGTTATTATTGTTAGGAACCCCATCGACACCATCATATTATCCTCTATATAATTGCAATGAAGAACAAAGGACGATACGTTTGAAGACTTACTTGAAGTTCCCCTTTGTTGGAGAGCCCCTCAATCGATTGCTCTCGGCCTTCAAAGACAAATTCGTAGGGAACAGGACGTCACTTAGAAGATCTGCTCGAGACAAAATAGCTAAATCCTATTGGCCTCGTGATTACATCTCTAATGGAGAGAATGTGGCTACTTTCCTTGAATTTATGAAATACTACTCTCACTATAGAATGCGCGATCACTATTGGCGTCAATACGAGAAAATCTGCCATCGTTGCCTTGTTAATTATGACTTCATTGGTAAGCTGGAGACTTTGTCAGAGGACGGTCCATCTCTACTAAAAATGGCGGGCATCCGTGACCGAGTAGCTTTCCCGCCAATCCACCAACATACAAGAGGCGATGAGGTTCTGAAGTATTGCTCTAAGTTTCCGCCTGACGACACCAAGCAGATTGGAGAACTGTATTTTAGCAATTTTGCGATGTTTGGATACGAGTTTCTGGGCCCTGTGAAGTCAAATGTGAAAAACTCTTGATTTCTAGAAATCTCTCTAGCTGAGACGACAATGGCCATTCTCATGCCCAGGGGGGCAATCTCTATAATGGCCTATACGGGAATGGTCCGCCAGAAAGGGGTGCCATTTTCAGGCTTCAGATGAAAGGGTACGGATTTCACTAGTTGAAGTATGCTAAAGGGGAGAGAAAATGGAAAATCTGTCATTTTGGTCGTAAGAAGGCCCAAAAAGGCTACTAGATACATTTTATGGTTGTGAAAAAGTCGAGATTTAGTGTATGTAGAAAGAAGAAATAATTTAACCTCCCAGCAAAAAATTTCTGGAATTATTAGACATTCACAGGTGTCCATGAAGGCTATTTATGTATAATCTTTGCAGTAGAGTCCTGAAAAGTACCTTTTTAACTAGGATCGAGAGCGTAGTGGTAAAAAGAGATGTGCGCAGACTAGTTACTTGAGTTATTCTCAAGTATGACGGTCTCTGATTCGTCTCTTATGGACTAATTTAATAGGTAAGTCCCGTCCATCATCAGCAACCATCCAAGGTTTTATCTTAAAGGAAAAGAGATAATTTTTTTCTGCAGATCTGTTCTTTGCTCAGTTGGGTATTCCATGACGTCACTGCTGCTTTATCATGTCTTACTAAAATAGAGCGTGTTCATGTGACCTCACGTCCATTTTCGTGTCCCAAAACAATGAATACGCGGCCAAGTTGGTACCGTAGCCATGCAAATAAAGGTTGTTGTCGTTAGAGACCCCTTCGACACGATCACCCTAGTGAGATAAGGGCAGTGTCGCTTATTTTCAATCCAAGGAAGAACAGATGCATATTCTGAGAGTAATTCTCTTCTTGGCTTTATTGCCCCCTGAAAATGAATTAGAATTATCGAGAATTCTTCCTATAGCTCTTGCAGGCGTCTTACAGGTGGACTTTCCTGACTACATAGAAAAACAGGAAAAAAAAGTATAAAAAACATCATATCCTCCTCCACTGAAAGCTATAATAAGGTCTAGCCTCCAAGGTGAGTGACGCGCAAGTGGGTATGGTATTAAATTTCTTTAAAATAATATATACAGTGTAAAAATGAATTGCACCAGACTGGTTGATCTCTCTATTGCAAAGTGATAACTTGCAAGTTTCAAGCGAGTTGCATTCCGTTTTTCATTGGAAATTTACTTTTCTCAATGTACAACCTTTGAGAGGCATTTATTATAAAAAAAAAACTGAAAAGGAACAGTAATATTAAAATGGTGGTAAACAACGAATGAAAACATTTACTACGTCATAAATCGTTCGTCCGTTTCGAACCTTGCTCTCAAAGTCGTTAATCTGGATGAAGCTCAATTGAGTTGAATAGATTTACTACTTCGGAAAATCCCAAATAATGTAACTGATTATCAGCTGCGATGATGGCGTTCTCTTTAATTCCAGAGAACTGCTCGAACGGTCTCCACGATTGTTTTAATTAGATGCAGTTCGCTTGAAATTTTCTATGGGTCAGTCTGAACGCTAGCCAAGCCCCAACGTTTAAGTTGAAATTTGCGTGACTCAATGATCGGGAGCAGTGGCTTTGTACTTTTTGGATTACGCAGCTTACCAGCAATGAAAAGGAGTTTAATAAATGTTATTATTATTATAATTATTATTATTATTATTGTTATTATTATTATTATTATTAATATCATTATTATTAACAAAGCTAACAATAAAATCCTATTTACAATTAATTTCACTTAAAAAACTATTCTGTCAAAGTACTATTTACATTATTCCTTTCGATTAAAAAAAAGACACTTAATTTCGATTGAAAAAGTTCATTACATTAAAAATATATCATATTTTCGGAACAAAAAAATTGAATTTCAAAACGGTTCATTTCAACTAAACTAAATTAACGTGCTGACGCCATTAAAAAACTATTCAGAATTAATTAAAAATTAAATTATTATTATTATTATTATTATTATTATTATTATTATCATTGATAACATTATTACCATAGCGTGACCAGTTATATCTAGAGGTACGATCCTCTCTGAAACCTCTATTTTCATAAACCTTTGATGCACACCTGCTATTTTTTGAGGCTGGGCAAGCTGGGTCAGAGTGATCTCTTGTTTCGCCGGTAAGCTAATTAAACAGCTCGAGAGCTTCTTGGGCACCCCAGGTTTACGAGCTGGTGTTACTTCATGGTGAAACTCACTCTTGTGTCACCATAGTTGTATGCCCTCTTTGCGACCGATGCAGAAGTAGAATGAAATTTTTCTTGCCTGTCAAACTGTCTCTCTAAACAAAGAGTCAAAACATAGGTTTTTCTGTTTGTTTTTGCACTGCTATACTCAAACACATTTCATAGAGCTAAAAGTTTCAGCGTGTTTCAGGGCCTTGAGAGGAGATTTGGTTTCTATATATTTTACTGAATTTCCTTTACTAACCTGTCTGAAAGCCTACTATCTGCTAGCTATTTTGAAGTCAATTAATGTACAGAATACTGTAAAAAGGAAGCTTCAGCAAGTGATATAAGCGCCGTCATTTGCCCTTCGTTTCTCATTGCTTATCGTTCAGTTGTAATTTCATTGTTGAGACAGAACCTCTCGTTCAAACAAGTGAACCTCAGAATGACTATTTCAACAAAGGTAAGTGACGGGCTAGCTTAATGTTACGTAAGGTCACCGCATTTTTAAAGCGTGAGCTCGCCATGTGATTTGACCTACGTCCCCCACGGAATTCTCCACGATGCATACACCAGATACACTTTTCTGTATATTACAAGCAGTCCTTTGGTCCCAAAGACTCCGGTTTAATATTAGTTTTTATTTCTTTTAGTCTCTCTGTTAGGGAGAAAAGAAGCTCAACGTAATTAAAAACGGGAATCAAACGGAAATCACCCTCAAAGGACACTAGATTCATCTTGAAAATGCAAGGGATTAAGTTTTCAACCGACACTACTACACTAATGCATGATGACTTAGCTCCCCATCATCATCGTTTACTGCACTACTAAAACATTAAAGATCCTTTGAGCTAAAAGCAGTTTTTAATTCTAAAACAGCAATTAAACTAACTTATAACTTGATCAATAATTCACGTGGTCAGCAAATATTCTCAACTGGTTTGGGTATTATTTTCATGCTTTGCTCCTCAAATGTAATATTTATAGCAAGTGTGATAAAACAAAATTTTAAAATTTTAAACATCTTTCAAAACAGGTGGTTTTGTGTCTTGCCGTTGCCTTGGGTAGCTCCATCCTGGGTTTTACAAACTCTTTTTTCCTTGAGAAGCCATCTCTTCAAAACCAAGCACTCAGTCACCCGAGTGACCCAGAGTCTGAAGAGTCCCAACCTGCCACTCAACTCGGGGAAAGCGCGGGAAGCGTGAGCCAGAAGAGTGACGTCTTGAGCGAAGCTAACGACATCGATCAGTCAATTGTCCATAACCGCACTTCACGAGACCTAGTGTTAGAGTGCTACGAAAAAGGAGTGTGGAGATTCGACAAATGCAGAAATCAATTTGTTTCCGAAATCAAGTGTCTTGTGTCTCACAAAGTATGTTACAAAAGCCAAGAAAGGTGTGAAGCAGTGCTTGGCTTTCGGAACACGAGCTTCATAGGAAAGTGTTTTGCGTTGACACTGGGTTGTCAATGCGCCGCCAGTCAGTTAAGCGGTTAATATGACCTGGAACTTTTTCCTCTGGTTTATCTGATGAAGCATATTGCGTAGTGATAATAAATTTTAAGTAAACAAATTAAAGCTAAACAACTATCCTTTAAGAGAATTAAGACACAGTAAATGATCTGAACTGTCATGTAAAAACGCATTTGAAAATAAATAACAGGTTATATATGTCAGTGGTCAGGAATAAAACTTAGCGTGAGTTGTGATTGTAACACACCGTAGAATGATAATCTAATAAATTTCCTTGGCTGAATTCTAAGCTCATATTCTGATATGCTTTAGTACGTCAGGTTATTACCGAGAATTACTCTTTCTCTAGGACTAACAACATCAACTTTGTCTTTGGTCATAGCTTATAAAAATGGAGACGAAAAGCGTTTATTTGTTCTGATTAAGCTTTAATATTATGACATTACTTAATACCACCATATAGTAGTCACGAACTAATTTTGAAAAACGACAATTTTCTTAGTGCCCATATCCGTTTTTGCTGATTAACTTCTTCATCATCATCTTCTTCTTTTTCAGTTCCACTTTTTTTCATTACAGTGATCTGAGAGACATTAAGGGAAATTTCTCCTAATATCTCATCAACAGATTGCCGGTTAAAACTGTTAGAATCATGGCGAACTCCTTGCTTAGTAAGAAAACGAATTATGAAGTCCAATTAGAATAGGTCGAATTCTCGGCTACCTTGTAACTGTAAAACTGGCGTCTACACTACATAGTTTGAATGACAGCCGTCATTAGAATCCCAATAAGTTCAAGATGATTATTTTGTCTAGTTCTTAAAGCTATGTGCATGCAAACGGGCGCAACGACTCCCAACATTTTTGGGCCAATAACGTTGGGATTTGTTGCGTCTCTGTTTGCAGTGTTGTGTAGACGGATGCAACAAGTCCCAACAATGTTGGGACCTGCAGTGCATCGTGGGAAAGGATACAACCCTTAAGACTTTAGAAACTACGTGTGATGCGCGCGTGTAGCCCAAGCAATGTTGGAAGAGCTGTGCGAACGGATCTAACATTGTTGCGCTAAGTTCAGGGATCACGAAACAGTTGTTGGCTCAAAAGTTTGACCGGTTTTACAGCAACTCCCAACAACACGCAACAACATGCAACAGGGTGTGCAAACGAACGCAACATGTAACATCCAACAATGTTGGGCGGTCGGCTAACAATGTTGCGTCCGTTTACACGGGGCTTAAAACTGTAATGCTTTTAAAATTTGTTTAATCACGGCGTATCACACTTATATTATGGCACCCCTTTACCATTTGCTTCAGCCAAAACATAAGAAAAAATATTGAATCAAATCTACTTAGTGAACAGTTCTGAAAAATACCAT